TATTTTAATAAATATATGTTTGTTATCTAAAAAAACACTAAAAACTAGTAAATCATTTTAAATGGAGTTTATTGGACATCAAAATGAAACAAGTATGGAGAGAGACAGTATAGTTCAAAAAGACGCATATACGGATACACAGAAAACACAAACAATGATTAATATGCCAAAAACATCACAAAACAACACGCGACAACGAACAGCATCATTTGATCGTGTCCAACCGAAATGTTTTGATTGTTTTGTTATTGAAATAAATGCGAACACAGAAGATATGGTTAACAAGAAAAAGACAGACAAATTGTTTCAAAACAACACACAAAAGTACTTTGTGATGTGCGACACTTTCATTGAAACATTCATAAATAACAAACACGCAAAATTTTGTGATTACACAAGATTCATACAAAACAACATTCCAGAAGTCTTAGAAAAACGAATGACTGAACACATGCTATCAAACCAACTGTTTTACAACAAGTTATTCACAACAATAACTTCGACATTTATTTAATTTCATTTGATATCCATTTTTTTCTGTTTCTTTGTATTATACAATTTCATTTATCATATATATCTTAATATAATATATATAAAGAGCACCAGAAAACTGTCGTACAGCAGAAAATAGTTGTACACATTGTTTTATGGTATTTTTTTGTATAAAGTCGGGTTTTTATTTTTTAAAACCCAATTATTTTCCTGATTGTTTAGTCAAATTTTATATGTAAAGATATATTCCCGATTTTTCGGTTTGTTTGATACTAAAATCACAAGTGTAAGATAATTATCTCTTTGTACGACTATTTTCTGTTGGTTTTTATATACAAACTATTTTATTTAACTTGTTTAATTTATTACTTTTAAATAACAGAATAGTCAAAAAGTTTTAATTCAAATTTCAAACACAATTTATATCCACAAAAAAACTATTAAAAATAGTTAACGATATTATAATATTTAAGAATAGTTTCCACAAGTTCCACATTTTTCACACGGAGTTTTAATACTTCCACACTTAATCAATTCCTCCACAAGTGCGGTTAGATCCCAATTCACAAGATTCTTTTCCTTTGTTTGTATCGAGTATACAATTTCTTTTCCAGTACTGATCCTATTAATTCTCGAATGCACCACCTTCCCATTATCCTTTCTTGACAACGTCAGAGGCGACCCTTTCACACTTGTACTTTCTCGTATCAAAAAAGTGCCGTCGACTGTCGATTCAAGTTGCGCGGCGGCTTCATCTTTGGAATAAAATGGGAACCACCAGTCGCTATGCATCACTTCCAACATCATTGTAAAGCACTTTTTATCTTTAAAAAACGTGCCAAACATATCGACCATCTTCTCAAATGTTTCTAAGTCGACTTCTTTCACTTCTTTGATGTACTCCACTAATTTGGAATCTTTGTCGTCTTTTGTTATAAACCGTTTTAACGCGCTAACAAACTCCAAAACAGTAACAACCTTTGGAATTTCTCCATTTTGCGAAAACGAGTTTTTCCACCATTGGCCGGCAGTCTCTGAAGTGACTGTTGTTTCCACTTTCATCTCTTCAAGAAGTTGAACCAGTTTATTACATGAGGGTCGTTTCTTCCCATCTAGATCCCAACACTGCAACATGACATCTTCCGCACACCGTGGAACGACATCAAGTAAGTCGCCAAACTCGCTTTTTATCTTTTCAATGTCGTCCTCCATCTTCGAGTTATTTTCATTTAGTTTCAAGAAATTGAGTGGCAGGAACGGTGTTATTTTACTGTTAAGTAACATCACCAAGTCTTCTGCACTTTGTAGATGTGTGTGGTCAAAAAAGGGTATTTTCTCATAGAAAAGTTCATACATGACCATTCCAAGAGAATAGATATCAATCTCTTTGCCGTACGTCTCTGACTCCATTAAAACTTCTGGAGCACAGTACAACACAGATCCTTTAAACTTGCGATGTGCCTCGACACTCCCATCTTCCGCAAAGTTGAAATCACAGATTTTGATTTCAAACGTCTTTGTGAGCAAAAAGTTCGTTGGCTTTAAGTCTCTGTGGATTAAATTGAGTCTGTTATGAATCCACTGCACCCCAATACAGCACTGCGTGAATAAATCTATTTTCAATGGAACGTCAAATTCTCGAGATAAAAAGATGGTCGGCAGTTTGTCTGGAAAATGAATGAAATTGTCCAAATTTGAGTCGACATACTCAGTCACTATAGATGGACGATTTTGTATTAATACAGTGCCGATAAATAAGACTAAATTTGGATGGCGAAGTTTCCTGATCGTCTCTATTTCTTTGTAATAGGAATCACCAAGAACTTGGTTTGTTTGTTGAAAGACTTCGTCTCGTGGAATTTTGACAGCTACATTGAGGCCTTTGAGAGAAGCCTTGTAAACAACACCAGCGAGACCTTCACCAATTGGAAATTCATCAAAGACAAAATCCGAAGAATCAAGAAGAAGATAATCGTTGGACATTGTGTTGTTTTATTGATTTAAGTTTTCAGATGTGAAAATTTGAATTAATTAATTAAATATTTTATGTTTTGAAGGAATTGTGATTTTATTTTTGTTTGAAAATGGTTAAAGAAAAACAGAACGTACTTTTAAATTTATAAAATTGTTTAACCATTTTTTTTTGTTTTGAGAAGAACACACCACTATTGTTAAACAATTAATTCAAATTGGAAATTAAACAAAAACATAAACTTATTATAAAAATTTTATTTAATTAAAAATTTTCGAATTTGTGATAAAAAGAGTGTAATTATTATTTATGTTTTTATTTATAAAATTTAAAAAAGGAATTTACAATTTTAAATGCCATGTTTATTATATAAACACGACTTTTATTTTATTTTAAAAAACCGATTGTTGTTTATATTTATTGTTTTGAAATAAACCTCATCAATGTTATTGAAAAGACAAAAAAATATAATTTTAGAATAAATATTATTTTGAAGTTTTTACATTAACCTTAGGAAGAGAAATCTCGATATTTTATATCAAGATTGAATATTTATTTTTAAATCGCTTTTTTATAAATTTAAAAAAAAATAAAAATAAAAAACAACAAAAAACAAAATGGAAAAAGAAGAAATGGAGGAGTCAGAAAGTTGTGATAGTGACAATGTTTTAAGCGACGAAAATTACGAAGAAAATTATCAGGAAGAAGTTGTCGATAAACATGAAAATTGTGTTAATCCAAACTGTCAATTGTGTTGGAAAAATGTCAAGTTTACAGAAGACGACGTCAATTCTATATTTTTACATGATAAAAGTGGCAACATGAAATCAACAACAATAATAAACACGGAACTTGACTGCTTTAAATATTTGTTTGATAATGAATGCTTCGAGTTAATCAACAAAAACACATATTTGTATGCTAATCAGAAAAGAACTAGAAAATGGTATCCCATTGATGTCAACGAAATGAAAGCTTTTATTCGTGTGGCAATAAAACAGTGTGTAAATAATGATAATAAAAAACCAATTCAAAAGAAGTTTCACCCTTTTACCTCGCTATTTTTCTGGATATTGTCACGATTGCAAAGAAAAAAAACAACTGCCTGTAGTGACATTTGTAGTGCAACCTTATCCACTTGGTCATGTGGTGATTACAATCGTGTGTTATGTGGTAAATGCTTTAAAACAATAGATTAATTTTATTGTTATTCATTTTGTTTTTTATTTTTTACAAAAGGATCTGGATAGAAAATATCCAGTTTTCCCTTTCCAGCAAAAAAAATTGGCAAAAACGAGTGACTTCCTAAGGTTAAAAAAATAAGTTCTGATTAAATTAATAATGTTTTTAACTTATTGAACTACTTTGGAAATATTTAAAATAAAACATTCAAATTCAAAAAAAGAAGTTTATAATAATATAATACTTGTAGTTTTCAACACTTATGTACATCTAATATAAAAATTAATTATTTATCATTTTAAGTTTGTATGAATACTTTTATTATTTTTTTTATTCAAATTTATAATTATTTTAAATCATATTTTATATATATATATATATTACAATATTAAGTATTAATAATTGAATAACAATCACTCCATAACAAACAATGTCTTTTGAAAAAATGCTTACTTTTACATTTTAAACATTAAACAAATAAAAATGGTTCAAATCAATATCTAAAGTCAGAGTAGTTTATATTATCAGGACATACACAACAAAGTATGTTCTTCAAACAATAACACTAGTCTGGACAAAAAAACGAACATTGGTTTTTTTTTTTCAAATTACATCCATTGAAAAACCCTGAAATGTAAAATAAGCAAACAGCCACAATCAAAGGGATAAATGCTTTGAAATAATTAAATTTATAGTTTTCTGTATTATATTTTACTAGATAACATAAACACAAATTTGTTGTGAGAAGTATTATTGGCACAAACCCAACAACGCCCACGTATAAAGTTTCACAACTTGCATTTATATTTTTATAGATGAATCCACGACCAAAACATGGTATTATCTTATCTCCATCTTCGTCCCACCACTCAAACATGAATAAAATATATGTACACCAAATAAACAGTCCATTCAACAATTCGAATACCAATAAAAATGACAATATGAGAGAAATCAAGATGAGACCAGTCTCATATGAAAACGAGTCTGTTTTAATCATTTTTATCATTAATAATACTATTAATGATGTCATCACAGGTGAAAGAATAATCGATTTAAAAAATTCGCCACATGAAAAGTAACAAGTAAATAATTCGGTTTCAATACAAGTTTCTATAAAATCATCATCATCACTACACTCTCTAATTGAGCAAACAAAACCACATGAAAACATATTCAAAGAAAAGAGAACCAAAAAAGGTAACAAAACATAGCTAATTGAAAATACACCAAATGAGTAAATAACAAATAGAATTGTTGTTATAAAAAAGATAAATGGTAAAAAAGAAATAAGGCTGATATCAGAAAAATCTGCCAGTTGTGTAAGAATATAATCATTAAATGGGATTGGAATTTTCAACATATCCTCGATTTTATTTGAAATGAAGTCTTCAAAACAAAACCTTAAAAAAATATACCAATATGTTCCAACAAAAATGTTTAATGCTGGGGGTATCAAAAACAATGAAAAAAATCCAGCGTTCACTTGTATCGTTTTATCTAGTGCAAGTGGGTATAACACAACAAACAATAATAAGCATATAAAGTTAAATAAAGCAACACAATGGTTTGTAAACAATAAAAGTAATAAACCTTTAAATTGGGTTGGAATATCACAATCTATGTTTTCTATATCTAAGTGTTGTGTTGTGTCATAAATTTTTGATCTGTTTTGATTTGTTAATTTGGAAATTGCATTACAGTGGGTAGTTCCAGAGTTGTTTAACACTTTGGTATATAATTCATCATCTGTTTGTAACGTAGAATACAATTTACAAGTTTCAGTAATACGAAGAAATGTTTGTATATCACAATGAGTTGATATTTTTTTCATCACATTGATTGGAAGTTGTGACATTTATTTTTTGAGTTTCTAAATGAGAATTTTAATTTCAGTTGATTTTTAATGTTGTTTTTTATTAATTTGACAATATTTCAATTTTACTTGTTTTGGAAAAAGACAATTTTTTGTTCAATTATGTTTATGGACTTTTTTCAATTAAATTAAATGTTGTTATTTTTTTAAAGAGATGAATAAAAAGTTAATAATTCTCAAAACTTAAGTAAGTTAACAAAATATGCATTCATATTTTTTCATTCAGTTAATACTAAATTTAACGAAAATTGCTTAATTTAACCAATTCAATTCTTTTCAAGAAAACTAAAAAATAGAATAATAAAAAACCATTAAATTTAGCCAAATATTTGTCCGTTTTATATCAAAATCTCAATTAAAAATAATTCATTTTTATTATTAAA